CTGAGCCCAAAACTTAAGACAGGGTATCGTTATGAAAACCAGTTTTGAAACCCGGGTTTCAAGAATGGGGTTAGGCAGTTTTGTGGATATCAATATTTTTGTTGTGAAATATTATTTTATTAAGTTTCTTCATATTCTTCATTTTTTAAAATTTCTTAAATCAAAATTTACACAATTGCCAAGACCCCAAAAAGGAAACTCGGGAGTTTCGTTCAACGATACTCTTTTAAATTTCGGGCTCTGAGAAAGTTTTAATCTGTAAGAGTTTCGTCTGCTACTGGGTGTCCCACATCAAATTAGACCGCGTCAATGGGTCTAAATTACAATTTGTGGGATAAATCAGAAAATTTAAGAAGAATGAATCATTTACAAAAATTTATTTAGGCTAATAGAAATTTTTTTTTGCAGAAAATGCTAGATTTTTTGAGTATTATGTGCGTATTTTGGCGTTAAAGATTGGAGATAATCTAATATGATATGGGACGCTCTGTATGTTTACATTTTGTTTGTTTATGTTTTGACTGCATACGGTTGTACTTAGTAAAACAAGAAAATTGCAGTATACAAACAGAGAAAACTTGTCCGTCTTCACTGTTCATCTTGCAGAGACATTATAGACACATTTTTACAGTCTTTTACCCTTTTCATATAAACTCTAGCAGACATAATAATATTATGGCTTTTGAAATTAGGTATTACAATGCTAATTCATAGCAAAGACGATATACTATTTGTCACTGAATTCCCATGTTTTTTGGGACACCCTGTAGTATCTGTGTACTATATATTGTAAAATCATGCCGTTGGCCTTATCCACTAAAACTCTCAATTATATACGTCATGCAAAAATATGCAATCCTTATAAATATTTTGCATGAAATTATTCAGTACATACAATGTGACTAATTTGCAGAGCTTTAATTTGCAATTTAATGTGCCAATTTATGTTTAAAGTTTTGCATAAGATTTCTTTCTAATTAGTGATTTGAGCCATGCACGCACTTTTCATCAAAACTTTAAATTTTAAATGAATGTATTGTAGATTTTATCTAAAGGGTGTCCCAAAAAAAACATGGGAACTCAGTGAGGAATTCGATATCGTCTTTGTTATGAATTAGCATTGTAATACCTGTTTTCAAAAGCCATAATATCATTATGTCTGCTAGAGTTTATTTTATGTAAAGGATAAAAGACTTCAAAAGATTTGTCTATAATGTCTCCGCAAGATGAACAGTGAAGACGGACAAGTTTACTCTGTTTGTATACTGCAATTTTCTTGTTTTACTAATTACAACCGTATGCAGTCAAAACATAAAAAAAACAAAATGTGAACATAGCAGACAAAAATCTTACGGATTACAGCTTTCTCAGAAGGTATCACTATACTAAATCAAAGAATTATTTAAAAAGAGATATATTGAATTCGTCACTGAATTCCCAAGTTTATTGGGACACCCTGTAGTTTTGAAAAAAAACGATAGCCATGGAGAGTCCCAATCTTATAGGAACTTAAAAAGATAAAAAAGTAATTTAATTATTTTTTTTTTGTAAAATCAATAGTGAATAAGATATACATTTCGAAATCCGTGTTATATATTTGTAAAATATATTTCTTATAATAATGGTAATGTATCTGTATCTGAACACCCACTTTACGTACTTTTGGGCCCTTGTGATTTGATATTGGTGCCAAATAAATCGTGGAATTATATAATTATTTGATCATCTATAACAAGAGAAATACATTTCGGCCTTGATTTTAAACCTGCAGCCTTCGTACAAACAATTTCAAGTAAATCCAGGCAGTTAGTAACCGTCATATATATACTATATATATATATACCAAGGGTGTAATGCAAGGAAAGTTAATTGCGGTATACTCTGCGTGCGTACATATTGAAACCAGTCCTCTTTGGGTGGAATTTGTAAACAAAAATAGATGCATCGGTGTTCGTTTGGTATCCGAGGAGGTTAAAAGCATTACATTTTGATAATTTTGATAATTCACATAATAGTTTCCTATGACCAGAATATTTCATTGATTTTATTTATGTGAAAGATGGATCCCATGTCAGGCTTTGACATCCGTTTTGTGTTTACATTACCGCCCAGAGACAGTACACTGCAGTACAAAAGATGTGTACACTTCTGAAACCCCCCCTCGGCCCTCACACACGTTCAGGTACGAATTGAAAGTCGTCTTTGAGTTTATTTGTGACATCAGTCGTCAATCTACTTTAACATTTATGATTCTTAAAAAGATTACCAGACAATTCTCCTAGCCCTGGCATTTCCAAAATGTGGTCTGCCTATTTTGTGCTCTCAATATTACCGGAGATATTAAGAATTTTGTTCATATATCAATTTTGTTAAATAAAACCAAAATTGTTGAAATATGAACAAAATTTTTCATACTCTGGGCAATATTGAAAGAACAAAATAGGCAGACCACATTTTGGAAATGCCAGGACTAAAGGAATTTTATAATCGAGGTATGTAAATGTACTTTTCAACTTTTTCTCGGGTTTTTTCTTTTTTTTTTCTTAGATATAGCTTTTTAGCTTTCTTTTTTAAAGACAACGAAATTATTCTCTATGATATTTTACAAAATAGTTATCTAGCTGAAATTTGATCATTTCCAGTTGTTTAGTCTTTACACAGGGGCGGATACAGGATTTAAGTGAGGGGGGGGGGGACAAGATTTTTTAGGAACAAAAAAATTCATAATTAGGAACAAAAAATCGCGGCGCAGGAGAAATTTTTTTTTGACTTAAAAAGAGTCAAAATTAATGACTAAAGACTAAAAAACTAGATTTTTAACTTTTCACACATTATAGTTTATTAAGACAGATATTTTTCCTGGTTTGCATTAGGGTTTCTTTCCCTTAAGCATGCTATTGAGAAGATATTCTGAAAATAGGAACAAAAAATTCAAAATTCAGGGGGGCGAATGTCCCCCCGCCCCCC